CCCCCCCCCCCCTCACAACACACATCGATCGTGGCCTACTTTAATCACCTGCTCCCCTCTGCTCTGCTACCAATCGTACGCCTTAAGTTTGTCAACGACCTTGGCGGCGGCGGCAAGATCCTTCTTGGCCTTGGCGCGCATGTAGTACTGCGCACAGTCCGAGTTGGAGCAGATGACCTCATCGTGGAGCGAGCCCATGCACGACTGGCACTGCGACCAGAGGCGCGAAAAGTGGAGCTCGAGCTCACGCATGCGGGCGAGCTGAGCGCCGTAGATGGCGGCGGTGTTGGCGGCGCAGTGGGCGCAGACCGGACGGGTGGTCGACGCCGGAAGCGCTGCCTTGCACTCGATGCAACGCTCCGAGCGGACGGTAAAGGCCATGAGGCCACCGGTTGACGGCGCCGAGACCTTGATGGTCCGGGTGTGCTCACCGTGGAAGAGGATGTCGGTCGAGGGGAGGATGGGCCCCATGACGCGGAGCAGCGGCTTCTTGAGCTGGTTCTCGATGTAGTACTCGGTGTCGATGGGGATCGAATGCTCAAGCACGTACAGCGGGTCCTCGGCCTTTTCGTACGTCTTGGCGTTTGTCGCGCCCTTGACGATGACGTACGGGACACGGTCGCCCATGACCGGCGCCGAGCCGGCGTCGCGCTTGCGCATGCGCTTCACCAGCTCGACGTGCGGCATCTTGTTGTCGTACTCATCTTCCGACTTGGAGAGCGACTTGGAAATGACAAGCTGCGAGATGTCGATCTCGTTCCGCAGCAGCCGCCCGATCTTGTCCTGCACGTACTTGACTGCCCCATCGACGTTTCGTTCGAGGAGGATGCGCTTGAGGACAACGCCGACGACGTCACCCACAATCCGCGCCGAGTCACGCCGGACCGTCTCGATACCACGCGCGTACATCTTGCCCTCGCCGTCCGCCGACGTGTGCTTCACCGCTGCGTACCGCTTCTTCGCAAGGAGCAAAAACGGGTCGCCCACGTACTCAAACTCGAGCGCGATCGGGCTCACAAAGTGCTCGGTCACGTACGCCGCAGCCTCCTCGCCAAGCTCGATCGACTCGGCAATGCCGGGCAGGCCAAACTTGACCATGACCGAGTCGGTATCACCGTACACCACCACCGCGTCACTGGCATATCCGTTGGCCTTGTTGTACTTGGCCTCCACCAGGCTCTTCGTCTCGTCGATCATCCGCCGGCCAAAGGCCGTCACCGAGCTGGAGATCTCGAGGCACGGCAGCTTGCCCACCGTGGCGCCGGTAAAGCCGTAGACCGAGTTGGCCGAGACCTTGAGCGCCAGCTGGCGCCCGTTGAGCACGCCCTTGCGGAACGGGTCGGTCTCAGCCTTCATCGCCTTCTTGGCCCGCTTACGCGCGTCGAGCAGCTCGCGGAGAATGATCGGGAGCACGCCCTTGCGGACCGAAGCCTTGACAAACAGCGCGTCGGTCGGCGTCTTGATGTACTCGTCCGGCGAGAGCTTGGCTGCGTTCGACTTGGAGAGCAGCGTCGAGTAGCACAGGTTGTGGGCCATCATAATTGACGGGTACAGTGACGAAAAGTCGAGCGTCGTGATGGGCTCGTTGTAAAAGCCGCGGATCGGGTCGAGCACTGTCGCGCCCTCGTACATCTCCGCAGACGGGTCCACCCGCATCGCCGGAATGAGGTAGTCCATGGTGAGCGCCTTGCGGTAGAGCTGCGAGACAACCTTGATCTGCTGACCGCGCGTGAGGAGCCACGAGAGCGGCACGCCCGTCACACGCGCCATCTCGATGTAGTTGACCAACGAGAGGAGTTTGAGCAGGAGCCGGTACGGCAGAATCGCGTCCTTGAGGCAGTACACCGCCAGCCGGTGCCGGTTCTCGGCAGACCCGCGCTGCAGCTCCGAAATCGCCGAGTAGTGCACGTCCTCCTTCTGCTCGCCCAGAAAGTGCGACGAGACTGCGTTGAGCGAGTAAGACCGCAAGTTGTAGTCGCGCCGGATGCACACAAGCATGTCAAACTGGACCCGCCCGTGGATCCGGATGTCCTTGTTCTCGCGCGTCCCATACGCCTTGGACGAAAACGTTGTCGTCTTCATCGTCGTCCGCTCACCACGCACCCGGCCCAGCCACGGGAACGATTCCAGCCCCAGCGCTGCCGCGCGCTCCAGCAAATACGGGAGGTCAAAGTTGACAATGTTGTACCCGGTGAGAATGTCCGGGTCCGTCTCGACCACAAACTCACGCCACGCCTCGAGCAGCTCGCGCTCCGTCCGGAACGACATCACCTGCGCCCCGGCAATCGGCGCGCACGTGTCGAGCGTCATCACGTTGCGGATGAGCGGCTTCTCGCGCCCGTTGACAGAAATGACAGACGCAATCTGGATTACAGCGTCGTGCTCCGGTTCCGGGAACACGCCCTTCCGCCCCATGCACTCAATGTCAAACGAGAGGACCCGGAACGGCGCCACCTTGAGCCAGTCGTCCTCGGGCGCATGGCTTGTCAGCAGGTCCCACGCCACGTCGACCTCGATCTGGCACAGCGAAGTCTTCTCCGACGCCTCGCGCACGCTGTACATGCCTGCAGGCAGCTCAATCCAGTTGCATCCCACAATCGACGTGTCGATCATGAACCGCAGCTCGTACGAGATGTTCGACTCGTACGTCGAGTATGCCCGCTCACCCCCCACCCCGTAGTCGAACCCGTTCTCCAGCACGCGCCGCGCAATGCCGATGTGCGAGTGGTGTGCGACCCGGATGAGGAGAAAAGGTGCCTTGCGCCCGCCGTGGTACCCGTAGATCGACTCGCGCTGCACAATCTCCACCTCGAGCACGTACACAGGCGCAATCTGCGACTGCCCGCGAATCTGCGACTGGACCTTGGAGTTGAGCGCCACACGGAACGTGGCGCAATCGTCGGGTGAGAAGCCAGGCGGCGCCGGAATGAACAGATACGGATGAAAGCCGTGGACATGGGCCACCACAGACGCTCCGGACTCGGTCAGTCCGTACAACCGCATCACAGGCACCGGCCCCTCGGGCGCTCCAGGCATGCCTGCCACAGGCTTTCCCATGTACGAGTCACACTCCATTTGCTGGAACACTGTCCAGCCCCACCAGCAACAGCCCCATCGGTCGCCCCACTCCCCCCCCCCCCCCCCCCCCCCAC